GATGGAAGACCTCTCTCTTTGTCTCTGCCTCTCTCTGTAACTCTGTCTTTCAAATAAATAAAATAAATCTTACTGTCTCTCTCTCTGTCCACTCTGCCTGTCAAAAACAATTTAAATTTCACTTTACACACCATTCATTCACTCATTAATTAGTTCAGTTATGCATTCATTTATTCAACCAATAAATATTCATTGAGTTTTGATAACCAGAAAGGCATTAGGTTAAGCAAATGAGACATGACCTCTGCCTTTAGAGTGGACATTTGTTGAGTGCAAACTATGGCTAGGTGTTTTACATATTTTTTTAATAGAAAGCTTTTATTTAGTAAATATAACTTTCAGAAGTACAACTTTGGGATTATAGTGGTTCTTCCCCCCATACTTGTCCTCCCACCCCTAAACCATCCCACCTCTTATTCCCTCTCCCATCTCATTCTTCATTAAGATTCATTTTTAATTATCTTTATATATATAAGATCAACTCTATACTAAGTAAAGATTTCAACAGTTTGCACCCACATAGACACACAAAGTGTAAACTACTGTTTGAAGACTAGTTTTACCATTAATTCTCATAGTACAACATATTAAGGACAGAGGTCCTACATGGGGAGAAAATGCACAGTGACTTCTATTGATTTAACAATTGACATTCTTATTTATGACGTCAGTGATCAGTGTCATGAGCTGCCAAGGCTACAGAAGCCTCTTGAATCCACAAACTCTGACATTATTTAGACCAGGCCATAATCAAAGTGGAAGTTCTCTCCTCTCTTCAGAGAAAGCTACCTCCTTCTTTGATGGCCCCTTCTTTCCACCAGGATCTCACACACAGAGATCTTTCATTTAGCTTATTTTTTTGTCACAATGTCTTGGCTTTTCATGCCTGAAATGCCCTCATGGGCTTTTTAGCTTGATCCAAACGCCTTAAGGGCTGACGTGTTTTACATATCTTATATCAGCTCGATGAGATGATTTTTGTCTCATCACTTCTCCTACTGGCGTTAAACTGCTGACTCAAAGTTACACAAATGGTAGATGGAAGAGTTAGGCTTACAAATCCACCATGTTGTCTCTGAAGTCCACAACATTATGGTGCCCACAATATAGCATGAAGCAGAGAAACATACAGTTACTGACACTAAAGATCAGAGACAGTAAGAAATACAGAGAGAAGATATGTCATTTGCCATGCACACAGAAAGGAGCTGTTCATTCTGTTTAACAGTCTCTAGATAACCTCTTGGAAGGCTTCACATCGGCTGAAAGTTAAGTTGGCCCTTGAAGGTAACTGAGTTATGCATTTTGGGTAGAGACGTGAAAGTGCATGGTTTGTTGGAGAAACCGCTTAGCCCCACAAATGGAAACAGTCTCTCCTTATTCCTGCTGTGTTCATACAACAGTAGTTCTGAATTTTAGAATATTCCTGTTTGTCAGCACACCTGAACAATGCCACGGTCAGAAATCATTGCAATACAATGCGCCTACTATGGAGTCAATTTCCTGGGCTTTGGAGGTGGGATGCTGGCCCTTGTAGCTACACTCTGTCACTGACTGGTAGTGGGACCTATGGAAAAGTATTTAAGCTTTGGTCAGACTGTGATAATATCAGGGTCTATTTTAGGGAGTGCTTGTAAACTGCTTAGCTTAGTGTAAAGCACACAATGTGCACTCAATAAATTGGTTGTTATATCACAGCATCTCAGGAAATCTATGCGTATTCAATTATTGCAAGAATCTCTTGGCTGTCTTTTTTTTTTAAAAAAAAAAGATTTATTTTATTTATTAGAAAGGCAGAGAGAGAGAGAGAAAGAGAAAGTGATCTTACATCTGCTGGTTCACTCCTCAGAGAACTGCAGTGGCTAGGGCAGGGCCAGCCTGAAGCCAGGAGCTGAGAACTCCATTTGGGTCTTTAATGTGGGTAGCAGGGGCCCAAGTACTTGGACCAGCTTCCACTGCTTTCCCAGGCACATTAGCAGAGTGCTAGATCAGAAGCAAAGCAGTCAAGACTAACCTGAACTCTAATATGGGATGCCAGTGTTGTAGACAGCAGCTTAACCTGCTATGCCACAACCCTGGCTCCTTGGTTGTCCTTTCATACTGTGGCACTGTTTGAGTACAACTACACAGTATTGAATTGTCCTATATGCTCAGATGGCACAGTTTTAGAAATATTCTTTGCTCCACCTGTTGGCTTAATGTTCTGACCTCATCTTCTACTCTCAAGAAATACAGAATCATCTTCTGTACTGCACTGCAAGACTCATTTGGTTTAATGTACAGTGTGGCAGATAGTGTGCATGTTTCAGTAGAGAAAAAATGTTTTTTTTTTCCTATCATCACTTCGGTAGCATATTTGAGAAGCGGTAAATAGTGTGCCTTGACCTAAGTGGTTAAGAATCAAATATACGGAGTGTGTGTGGTGGGGGTGGGGCAGGAAGCAAGGGAAGGGGGAGTAATAGAAGAAATCAGGTTATGGTCAGATTGGAAAGGAACTTTAATATGCTGCAGCAAGTTTAGTCCTGATCCTGTAGGAGGAAATGGGGAGCCATGAGAGGAAAGACCAAGGTAGGAGAGCAGCATAACCAGAGTTGGATTTAAGGAGGATAACTATTACATCCTCGGGGTTTGCTTTGCATATTGTCTGACAAACTCTACATCTTGAAAAGCTCAGCACCTTTGGGGAGGTTTCTTGATTCCCTAAGCTTGGTTTTGATGTCTTCCAATGCATCCTCACGGTATTATGTTCATGTATCTATCATAGCAATATAATTGTTGACTTTAATTGGTTGTCTGTCTCCCTCACCAGATTGTAAAGTCTTTGAGATAAGGGACCACGTCTTATCTTTGCATTCCTACCATCTAGTACAGTGCAGCCAATCTGTAGGGGACTGGTTCAGGACCCCTGTGGATACTGAACTCCATGGATGGTCAAGTCCCTTGTATGAAATGTATTTACATGTAACCTACAGACATCCTCCTGTACACTTTAAGTAACTCTGGGTTATTTATAATGCCTAATATAATGTAAATACTTGTTATACTGTATACTTTAGGGAATGGCATGCTCAATACAGACACAATTTTTTTTTTTTTTGACAGGCAGAGTGGACAGTGAGAGAGAGAGACAGAGAGAAAGGTCTTCTTTTGCCATTGGTTCACCCTCCAATGGCCAGCGCGCTGCAACCAGCGCACCGTGCCGATCCGATGGCAGGAGCCAGGTACTTATCCTGGTCTCCCATGTGGGTGCAGGGCCCAAGCACTTGGGCCATCCTCCACTGCACTCCCTGGCCACAGCAGAGAGCTGGCCTGGAAGAGGGGCAACCGGGACAGAATCCGGCGCCCCGACCAGGACTAGAACCCGGTGTGCCGGCGTCGCAAGGCGGAGGATTAGCCTAGTGAGCCACAGCGCCGGCCAATACAGACACAAATTTAAAAAAATACACTTTTGCTCTGCAATAGGTTTGTATGTGAGATACAGAAAACTGATTATACTTGCACACAGCAGGTTCTAAATAAATATCTTAGTTTAATTAAGAACTGAATAGAAGGACCTCAGACAAGGAAACCAGTTCTGAGATTATTAATTTAACAGTCCGTTTGCATTACATCCACCTGTAACTCATAACAGATTGTCCTATTGAAAAAAGCTGATAAAAACATAATATTTTTGATCTTTAACTTTTTATTTGCAATCCTTCCCTAAAATGAAATAAGATGAAAATTAAATCACAAAGGTACCAAAGACATTGACTTTTAATTCACTGAAATTAGGCTTTTTCTCTTATAAAGTCCTGATAGAAATACACAGTACCTAATACCCTAAAAAGAGAATAAAATGCTAGCTAATTATTTCTGATCACTTAATTTGAAGGGATCCCCAGCAGTCCACAAGGTAAATTAATGTGATCAGCAAACTCCAAAGTATCGTTCTGTAATTTATGTGGAATTCCCGATAAGTCTTCAGAGTTTGCCAATATGTCCAACGATTATAGATGTTAGGCCAAAACAAATTCTCTATCTTTGCTTTTATACTGCAGGAACAGTTACAGGAATAGAATTTATCCATTAACTAAATGAAATGTTTCTATAAATCACTGTTTTAATTACTGAGTTAAAGGCTGCACTGGTATCATGAAAAGCAAAGTAAGGAGGTTGCCAAAAAGAGATGTGCGCTTTGTTGCTTTGACTACAGCGTGTTTAATTCCAGCTGTTAGTCAAAACAGGTCTGGATGACACTCATTCCTCTTTGATCATTTAATTTTGAGCTATTAGGACAACTAATTCTATTTAATTTTCCCTGTTCTGGCAATATTTCTGTTTTTTTTTTTTTTTTTTTTTTACATTGTATATGGTTGGTGCCTTATTGGATGGAAAGTGTGTGAATAGATCTTTCTCCATTCCTCCCTGATCCTGCTGTTCTTGTATATCCTGGGACTACAGAGACTGAAAACAGTCAGAGTTAAATGGAATTTTGAAATCCTCAACTAAAAATTTAATGAAGTTATCTCCATTTACCCAAGCTGACACACCAGAAGTAGCAAATTTTTATATACAAGTTGTTAAAAAAGAACAATCAGGAGGCTGGTGTTGTGGCATAGTGGGTTAAGCTGTTGTCTGCAATGCCGGCATCCCATATCAGAGCATCAGTTTGATTCCCAGCTGCTCTGCTTCTAATCCAGCTCCCTGCTAACGTGCTTAGGAAAGCAGTGGAAGATGGCCCAAGTGTCCGGGGCTCTGCCATCCATGTATGAGACCTGGATGGAGTTCCTGGCTCTTGGCTTCAGCCTGGCCCAGACCTGGCTGTTGCAGCCATTTAGGGAGTGAACCAGCAGATGGAAAACCTTTCTCTCTCTCTGCCTTTCTCTTTCTCTCTGCCCACCCCACCATTGCTCTGCCTTTCAAATAAATCAATCTTTTTCTAAAAAAAAAGAGAAGAATAATCAGGATTATTCAGACATTTAATGGAAATAAGATGATTTACTGAAATACAGACCTACCTTTTGGAGATACATCATTTTCTCCTCAGATTCTTGCATCTTTAGGGCTTCAGCAATGATGTCTGGATTCTCTAGAGGCAATAAGGCCAAACTCAATCTTCAGCAGTTTTGTAATGATTTTACAACATCAGTGACATAAAAATGGGTAACGGTTCAAAGATCATGTATAGAATAGAAAAGCAAACACAAATACATACTCTATGTTGACGCTTTACATAAACCAAATTCATAAATAATTAGAGACTGAATTAATTAGCTGTGGCTCCAGGAAACTTCTAATCTCTTTAGATGATGAGTAAGCCTGAGTCCAGAGATAAGAAAAGATCTCTAAGGAGGACTTATCTGTAGGACCAGAGACTCCAATTTCCACATTCCTCTTTAACCAGCTACAGGAGTGTAGATGTTGTCCTCTGCATGTAGATACTGTGTGTGTGTAGAGGTTTGGGACCCTAAGGCAGGAACTTGGGTGTGCAATTTAGAAAGTTATGTCAAAGGTAAAGTTGTACCTGTGTACTTACTACCTGTTCTCTGAAGAATACAAGAGTCAGGATGTGGAACAGGCACAAAACTTGGTACTTACTGTTCCTCTCCAGGGAAGAAGGCTGGGAGTGACTTTTCTCTAAACAAAAGGGAAGTGAAGAAATTATCAGAACAGACCACAGCATTACAGGTATTTGAATTTTCTATACCTATAAACGTTGCACAGTAACTGTTTCCGTACCCGAGGCCTCAGCAAGCACTTACAATTCAAGGAGCTTGATTTCTAACTGGAGTTCGCCTTCAGCTTTCTCTAAGGCTTTCCACTTCGAACTCATGTAAACTACTGTCCCTAATCTCCTTTTAGCCAACATACAGCATTTCCTGAGACTATTCTATGCTGAGACTCATACCATTTCCAAGTAGATGCTCCCTACTTTAAGATGGAACAAAGATATCAGGGATGGTGTTGATGGTGGGGGCGGGAGAGGACTGCTGGGAAGGTTCAGGACCTGTTGCGTATTTGTATATACCCTTCAGACATTTGAAGTGAGAGAGTCTCATTTGCGCAGTTCCTCGGGCAGGCTCTGCGCGAAGGGAATCTGGTGTCCTCTGGGTTGCTCACGGTGGACGGGAGGCGGCTACTTCACTCACCGGGCGCGACGCTCTGGGAGGCCCGCGCCACCGGCAGACGCTGACTGCTACCCTGGCGCAGCACCAGCTGGGATTCACTCGGGGGATACAAGGAAGCCCGGAGCCAGAACTGCTTAGCCAAGCTGGCATCCAGTTCCGAAGAGCCGGCGAACACCAGTAATCCCGGAGGGCAGATTTCCGGGGACTCCTTTCGACCGTTGCGACCCTCGCGGGCTCCCATTTCCATGGCAACTGAGGACGCTTCTTCAGGCTCCTTCACCTCACCCCCAGCCCCGCCCCCTGGGAAAACCGCCAAGTTCGTAACGGCCGCGGCCGAAGCCTTCAGTTGGCTGCGCAGGTGTGGCTGGCCCGTGCGCAGTTGCGGGCTATCGAAGGCCACTTTTGGGGTGATCACAGCCCTCGGGACCAGTCCGAGCCTTGGATCGAGATGATGTCAAACATCAACGTTGGGACGTGTCCTGTCCTGTCGGAGTAGTGGGGAAGCACTTGAGCCTCTTACATCCTTAGCCTTCCGCACCGTCTCCCACCATCCCCATCAGCCCCAACGCCCCATCTCCCCCTCCCCTTTCTAGGCCAGACCGCCACGGCTCAGCGCCCGCGGCCACGGAAGTTCTGGGCCTGCGCTGGAGAATTCAACAGGGCGGCTGAAGTCCTAGCCTATGAAGTCAGAGAGCTGAATTGGGCCAGTAGGTACCCATATGTATAGAGTTGTTGTGACTTGCCCCCTCTATTAAGACAAATCTTAGGAAAGCAGCTAGATTTAAATCGTAACTGCATTTACCAATTCCCATTAAAAGTTGCCTACAGTGCAACAATAGTTTATAGAAGGGATGTACCTGAGTGGACCGAGTCCCTTCATGAGAAATTATTCTTATAAAAGTATTAACAAGTTGTGAGAGCACACTCCCAGGAGATTGTTGTGCTGATCAAAGAACAATTTAACCATTTCCCTGATGGAAAGGTTGTACTTGCTGCTCTTCAGCCCAGGGTAGGAAAGCAAATGGACTGACTCATGGTGATAACCGCAATTTGTTTTCATGGCACTTTATTTTCCCAAAATATCACTAACAATATAGTCTCACAGATAGTTCAAGATTTGGCAATCACAAGTCAGTATGATAACAGATCAATCGGCTAAAGTAAAACTGATCCTGTTTCCCAGTATATCTTAAATCCCGAAGGAATATTGGAAAAAAAAACACATATTACAAATATATTTTACCAGCTAAACTCTTTTCCTTGTGGCTGAGATATTGATAGGCAATGGACAATATTCCAAAACCCCTCCTTCCTGAAACGCGCTCATGTTGCCCAGGCAACACATCTGGATGAACACTCAAATCTTTTTACCTGGCCGTGTGGTTAGTGATTGGTACTATCAGCAATCAGCTAACTACACTGCCTAGTAACTAGACTCACGGGAAAACTCTGGTCTCAAGTTGGTGCCACCATTCCTTGTGATAGGCAAATCATTGGTGAAGCCGCAGCTCACTTTTCGGTGCCCGGGTTGGTGAGTACCCTACTAAATAACCAACCCCGGGCACCTTGAGTCCTCAGCATTCAGCTTATTAGTTGCGACGGGTTCCAAGGGGTTCAAATGTCTTCTTAGCTTCAAATTAACGCCACCCAATCTCCACGGGTTTCGCTTTCCTCGTCGGAACCCGTGCCGCCGTGTGGTTACTGCTACCGCAGACCCACGACGGCCCCGGATCTCGAAGGGGCAGCCGCCAGCCTTCCCGGGGCTTCTCCGGCGCTCCGACAGGGCGTTCGCCCCCCGACGCTAGCGCAGCTCGTCTCCAGGGAGCCGCAGAGCCGGCGTCGTCCTCCGGCGGCGCGGCGGTGATGCTGTGCCTTGTTTTGATGGCAGTGGAGTTAGTGATTGTAAGCACCACAGTACAATCAGCTAATTACACTGCCTACAAACCGAGCACCGGGCGCCCCGCGGCTGCAGCTCCCGGACGGTCCGCAGCACCGACGCCGTGTCCCCGAGCGGCCTCGCCTCCCCGTTTCATCAGGGGCGACACCCGACGGCGTCTCGGGCCCACCGGGCACCCATGCCCAGCCAGACCGGCTGCACCCGCCCCCTCTGGGCTCGCCGCGCACACAAAACGTAGCACGGCCAGCGGGCGGCGCTGCTCGAGGGCCCTGCGTCCGCGGGCGCCGCAGCCCCCGACCCCAGGTGACCCCCGGGAGCGCCAGGCCGCCTGTGGCCCGCAGTCTCCCGCACCTCTCAGGACCCTCCAACTCAGGTCCCCCTCACCCCCTTTTTCTTCCCCCTCTTCGCCTCTTCGGGCCGTTTCCTCACGCCCGGTCGGGCCCGCTTCAGGAAACTTCTCTGAAGTTCCTAGCCCAAACCTCCCAGAGAGCTCTCTCAACCCCTTTGCGTCCCGCAGCTCCGAGTGACCGAGTGACCGTGGCCGAGGTCTGCCAACCGCCCTTGGAACCCGGCGGGCAGAGGGGGCGGGGCGGGCGCGCGGTGGGGGGAGGGGCGACTCGGGAGGAGGGGAGGAGGAGGGAAGGGGCCGTGGGCGATGGAGGCGCAGAGTCTGGAGAAGTTTCTCTTCCTGATGTAGTAGGAGGGGCAAAGAGCTGCTCCTCTCCCAGCTCCCAAGAAGCCCTTCGGAGCCCACCCAGTTTTCATGCCCTTTCCTCCGGGACAGCGGATTCCAGGTACCTCGTTATTGTAGGCTTGCTTTCCCACATGGATGTAGGCCTGGGTGGCCTCTGTCAAGCCGGAGGACGGCCTTTGTGAGTCCCATCTGCACCCTTGCTGTTGCTGGGGACTTGACCTTATAGAGCCAGAGCCATGCCATGAGGGAGGACAGGATGTTCTAGTCAAATAGCCCGCCCGCTTGTTAATTAAGTCAAGGTGTGGTCCTCTTGAGATCAGAGCCTCCGTTTTGTAGTCTCAAGGTCAACCTTAGAACTATTTCTACTTGTAGCATGTAGAAATACCTGCTGTTTGTTCAGCACCTAAGGCCATAGTACATTCCAGGTGGTGACACAAAGTGGACACACATTACCACTCACGACGGTATAAACTACATTACTGAACTGGGTAGACTTTACTAATAGAAGTAGAGGGAAGGGAGCCTCAATGAGAGCTGTAACAGTTCAGAGAAGGTTTAAGCAGGTCCTTTAAGCAAGAGAAAATTTGGGTGTTGAGGATGAAGGACAGCCAGAGAAGCAATGACTTGTGACAATTACATTTTCCTATTTCCACATCAGATAATGTGGAAGTATGTATTTGGAGTAAGTTGGGTAAAGGCACAGTTACAGATTTCTGGAGGACCTCTGCTAATAATTCTTTCCTTTTCTTTAAATAAATGAATTAGGAAAGGATCATTCAACACAAATTCCCACCTCAAACTACTTCCTAAGGATGAGTTTGAGTAAGTCGTTTTTGCCAAATGCAGTTTATTCTGTGAGGAGTAAGAAATCAGATCAAAGTATAAAATGTATAGTACAGAAAATGTTAACTGTAAAAAATAACTTACATAATTAAAATGTAGAAGATTATATACCACCTACTATAGTTTGTATTCATTCAACTTATATTTAGGAGAGGAACAATATTGTGCCATACATTAGATAGATCCTATACTCATTCAAATTTATGTATACAAAGAAAATGAGGAATGAAATAGACTCCATTCTACCAATATGTAGACCTCAAAATCTTCATTAGGACAATTATAAAAGCAATTCTGTCATTTTTGCCCAACATGATATTTAAAACATCTTCCTAATTCATGTTTCATAATTGTTAGTTGTATCTTAAGTATCTTACCTGAATTGACTTGCTGCCATCCAAGGCAGTAGGTGCGTTAGATGCCTTGAAAATTAGATTTTTAAGAGCTTTTCTTTGAAGGTAATAAAAAATAAAACTCATATAAAAAGTCATATATAATACAGAAAGATGTATTGCGATTGAAATAATGTTTTAAAATATGGTTCATTTTGTATGCAATACAACTTAAAAAAATAAAATAATGACAAAAGCCATGTGTTCTGTTTGGAAAAAAAAAAAAGAATGCTTGTTCTTAGGGTGGCTGTTGATTTGGCTTGCAGTTACTAGAGAAACTCCAAGGATCTCATTCCCTTTATGGTTCATGTCTAGGCATGCCTGAGACCAGGGAGACCCATGATTTAATCTAAGTAAGAATGCTTGTGTGATGTTTTAAATGCCCCAACAGAAGACTGCGTTTGTTTTAGACAGCACCAGGAAAGCACCTTTCATGGGGGTTGTTTACTGTTTTAATTTCTGGGCTTATGTTGATCAGGGAGATGGGGAAGGAGTTCTAGCGGGATGAGGTGTGGTTGGTGGTTAGGTGGAAACCAAGAAGAGTATAGAAAATAAATATCTTCTGTTTTAGCTTTAGCAAGCTTGCATTGGCTTCATTTACCACTCCTAGGTGAAAGACTAAAGTGATGGGAATTGAGAATTATAAAATGTGGAGACAAGGTACTCAGTACAAGAAAAACTCACCATCTAAACATTAGCTGTCTTCCGCAGCTTTTGAAGGGTGTTGTTAGGGGAGGAAAGGGCGAAGCATCAGACTGATTAGAAAGTACTGGATTTTAGCAGCTTCTTTTTAAACCTTTTCTTAAATGCATCTTAGCAAATATAAGCCCATGTTTTGGTTTCTATATAGATGGATAAAGGTCAGATGAACTTACTAATATTCATGGTGATATACTTAGAAAGTAGTTTATTTGTGGAAGCAGGACTAAACTAAAGCACTTAGCACCTTTTAAGAGCTAAAAAAATCAATGAAGCTGTTTAATCAGGAGAGAAGATTTTCCTTCGAGCTCTAATGAACTGCCAGCAGTTTTCCCATACTTTGGGTTCGATTTCATTGTGCTCTCATTATTAAGAGTGCACTCGATTCTTAATTAGTTACTTGTTTATATTTATTGGTTAATCAGTATTGATGCTTTTGGTGTAAAAATGCTAGGTTAATTTATCTTTTAGGTAAATCAAAAATAATATAATAAAATAGACTTCATAATTAAAGTTTCTGGGGCTCTGTTGTATATTTTCCATCTTTAGAGAGAACAGTCTCTAGGGATTTGTGGTCTAGTTGGAGAGAGACAATTTGTATACATCAATAAAGATAGTTATGGTAAACATTATGACATAGTATTAATATACAAATATTCATAGAATATATTATAAATGTATTAATACAGGTATTATATTTATGTGATCTATACTTATATTAAGTACCAAGATGGTTAGATTAATAAGTACTTCAGGAACCCTGAACACTAAGCTTCATCATTTCCAACATTTAGAAGAAAAAGAAAACCACCAAAGGTTGGGACACAGAGAAGAAGGCTATATGGAAAAGATGGGATCAAGATGAGTCTAAAAAGGAAAAGTATGACATGGATGCTGTTGGTAGCAGGAACAATTTGTGAAGGAAAAACACAAGAAAATTACAAAGAAAGTAATACACACGGCCAATGAGGAAAGCAATGGGTGTGTCTCTATTGGGGAAATATTAGAGGAAAGGAGGAGATGAATCATGGAGGACTTTAAATGTTTACCCAGGAAATTTTTCTGACTGAGGATCTCCTGATGTACACAACGTGTTGTTTTATGAAGATTGATAAAGAGCCTAGATTAGAAGAGGGAGAGACAGAGGAAGCTGAAAGCCCAGTTAGGAGATTATTTTCATACGTCTAGGAATGAAATATGGAACGAGTGAGAAATTTTGTGAAGGCGACTTTATGGGATTTGATGACTGGCAAAAGTGAAGAAAGAAAATAAAATTAACATCCAGCTTTTGCTGATAAGTAGGGGTGTTGAAGGGAGCAAATCTAGTGAGTTACAATGGATTTAGGTCTAGGCATGTTTTGTTTCAGGTAATGGAAGAACATTGTGGTAGAGTTAGACAGGCGGAGCTGGAACTCTGGAGAGAAGCCAGGACTGAAAAGGGAGACTTAGCAGTTTTCTGAAGCTGTGATAGTTGAAGTTACAAGGCACGTGCTGTGTCACCCTGGGCGGACAGAGTAAGTGACTGACAGCAGTGTATCATTGTCAAATAGAGAACAGAATGAGGAAAGTAGAAGCCTTGGGTGCGAATTTGAGAGGATCTCTCTTCTATTCAGGGGCTGGCAAGAGGAAGTACATCTTGAGAAGGAGAAGTAGAAGAGAGGACTCTCACAAAAGCCAAGCAGTGTTAAAGGGGGTCCTATACAGACATGCATTAAAGGGAGGCGGCTGCATTAGCACTGCCACGTCATAAGGTTTGGTCAGTGGCATTAGCCGTGGGGCAGCAGATGATTGGGCTGGCTTCCTTCATTGGTCAGGGAATGATCTTCTCTAATCTATAAACAGATGAACTTCCCTGCCTGCTCCCCACCACTGATTGGCCTCTACCACCTCTTCAAAACCCCTCTGGGAGATTTTCAGGTTTATAAAGTAATTCTAGGCTCCAGTAGAGCTAGCTGGCACTCTGAATGCATGGTTGGAGAAAGTTTATTCTCTTTCTTAAGCGCTCTAGGGGATGTTCTGTGGTTCAATGAAGCCAAAAGAAGGAAAGTGACTGGTTATTCTGTTAATTAACTAACTTTTAAGCATGAAAAAATGCCAGTCTCTGAAGAGCTTCCTTCTATGTCTTCTTATTCTTGTTTGTATTCTGCCGTCCTCATATGGTGCTTGCTTTTTTTTTTTTAGTATTTTTTTTCTTTGTGGAACTTATATTTAATTTTTAAAGAAATTACATAACTCATTTTTTACCTTTTTGCTCATCCATAGATTGTTTAAATTTCAAGCTCAAATCCTACTTCCTGTGTAAAATCTCCCATGGTGCCTTTTAGTTTGTCTTGATTCTTTCCTTTCTTTAAACCCTTTTGTACTCAATGTATTCACTCTACAGTATCTTCCACTAGTAAGAAAGTATTACTGTATTTTAAATTTAGCATTTAATTAGAGTAACAGAGTGCTGATACACATATACACACTTTTATTATTATAGTATAGAGAAGTATACATAATCTCTTATAGGCAAATACTTTTATTTTCAGCAGATTATCCTGCTTTATAATTTGTACAATGCCACTTACATTGCAAGTGGCCCATGATATACAAAGGAAATACAAATTAAGTAGGAAAAAGACTGGTGGTAAATAGAACACTTGCATTATAACTTTACAAAAAGAAACATTCAGTATGGTTTAAGATTCATTTAGGTGAACAGTAAAGGATTTCTGTTTAGAGTATTAGGCCATATTAATATCTTTTGGATTAAAATCAACATTGCATGACTTATAGTATTTTATTAGATTACAGTTTATGCAATTTTAATGCATATAAAAAGGCTGATTTATTTGAAAGTCAGAGTTAGAGAGAGGGGACAGAGAGAGGGAGAGATCTTCCATCCACTGTTCACTCCCCAGATGGCAGCAACAGCCAGCATTGGGCCAGGCCAAAGCCAGGAGCCAGGAGCTTCACTCAGGACTCCCACATGGGTGTCAGGGGCACAAACATTTTTGCCATAATATGCTGCTTTTCTGAGGCCATTAGTAAGGAGCAGGATCAGAAGTAGAGCAGCTGGGACTCCAACCAGAGCCTATATACAATGCCCGGCCTTCCAGGTGGTGGCTTTACCCTCTATGCCGTAATGCTGGCCCCTCAACTTTAATGTGTTTTAAGCAACTTT